TGTAGAAATTGAACAGTTTTAAAAATGTGATAGTTTTTCATTTTTGTTTCCCTATTTGTTCTTTGATTTTTGCTACTGTTTTATTTATTATAGTTCAATTTATTTAAAAGTCTTGTAAGGACCTTGAAATACTGAAATACTTTGACATTTTGCATTCCCTGATCAGTATGAAATGGAAGAAAAAGTACAAAAGGCACATTACAGTACAAAGCCAGTAGTTAAGATCAGCTAGAACTCATGTATAATTAGACACACCACATTTGACATACAGGCTGACTGTGCAATGTTAGTTCAGAATGTTCTTCCTATTTATTCTGATAGTTTGGCACAGCTATACTGTGTCCTAACATATAAAAAGAACAGTGATATCATCAGAGCTTCATAGGAATCAGATCTTTTGCATACTATAAAATATTCTTCAGAGCAGTTGTAGAACTCTGTGTTCTTTAAAATAGTAAGATCATTAACTGATTTAGACATAATATTATTTATTATCAGGAAGTATGAACAGGTTTGCTATTAAAGAATGTTAAATTCGAACTGTCAGTACTTTGCAGTCATATATATAAAAGCAGAATGAAGGTGCTACAAGAACAATGTACTTGAAAATAATCACACCATTAATTGTTCAGGATGTACAGGGACATAAATAACAAAGGTTTTTCCTCCCTATATGCACTTGCAAATTTTATAAGCTCTTGAGAGCCAGAAGTACTTAACCAATCTTATCCTCAAACACAGTCAAGTACTTGATGGAGTTATCATTCCATTTTCTTCCTTTGAAAGACTGTCTGGTATTTCTTCTGCCTGAGTTTCTGTGTATCCTTTTAAACCGAACACTCAAAAAGTTACTTTTTTATTAATAATGAGTTCTAAAATGTCTTTTTATAAAGTAAATGTAGGATTGTTAGCCCTTTTAAAATGTGGTCTCTTTGTGTTTGATAGCATAAAATCTTTAATAACTCTTAAAATAGTGTTTGTTTAACATTTTAAATTCGTAGAAATATTTGCACCGTATCAGATCAAAGGCTTATCTAGCCCAATGTATATCCAAGACTTACTTGTATTAGATGTCTAGGGAAAACTGCAAGAACCAGGAAACTATGGTAATACTACCCTGGTACATCCTCCAGTTTCTAACAATATGTGACTTGGGATTCTGAGAATGTTGGGTGCTATCTTTGTGGGTAGCCTTTGATGAAAATTTTAATCTTCTTTGAAATGTAAACTTCTGACACCTATAGTGTTTGATCAAAATGAGCTTCATGCTGGAATTGCATGTTTTGAGAGATAGATACCTGATTTTGTTTTGAAACTCTTCAATCCAGGAAGTTTTACTTGTTGTTCCCATGTACTAGAAGTAATAACAGATGATTGATTGTGCCATTTATTTTCTTATGCCATTAATGATTTTTGCGATTTTTTTGTTGTTTAAACCTGAGAGGACCTGGTTGCTTTTTGCCCAATGCTGAGCTGACGTTTTATCAAATTATCTATGACAGCTGAAGTCCATTCCTGATGGGTAATGGTTCAAAAGTCATCTATACACAACTCCACACTGATATAAAGTGAATTTTAATCTTACATTTCATTTCTTCATTAGGCAGTGTCTTGATGTCCTTCAGTTCATTGCTATCAGCTTTTATTCTCTGTATGCAAAGCTTATTACCTTACTTTTCACCTTGTTTTCCAAATCAGTTATGAATATATTAAACTGTATGAGCTCTGTGATGAGTCCCAGTGAAGTCCATGATCATTCTTTCCACTTCAACTGATTGCTTAGTCTTATTGTAAGCTTCTTCTAATGGAGTGGTGACTCACATGATGAACTTTCTTCTTCCATGCATCTTAGTTTCTTTGAAATACTTTGAGGACCTTGTTGAATGCCATTTGGAAATCCACACTCAACTAGGTCAACTGCGTAGCATTGGAACTGGTTCTGTCTTGCCTGTGTGTTTGTTCACATCTTCAAAAGAACTTTAATAAGTTTATGAGACACAGTTTCTCTTTCCAAGAGCCGTGGTAGTACTTTTTTTGATTTTGATTACATTCATCCTTATGTCTGCAGTTTTATTTCATCTGATTATTTCTGCCAGTGTGCCTGACAGGAATATTATTTCTGTCTGGCCTGTAGTTGCAGGGATCCCTGTTGTAGCCCTTGCAGAGAATTCAGTTTGCAGTTTTCATTTTCTCTTCCTTTGCTACAAGGTGATTATAAGTGAGAGGTTACATGCTACTCTTAATAATTAAACTATTGCATTAACTTCTTTAGAACTGTTGGAAGAATACCATCTGTTCCTGACAATTTGTTATATTAATTTAGTGGATTTGTTTGATAGCCTGTTCTACTAATGCTGTTTGAGACACACCGATGCTTCCTCTTATAAAGAAGGCACCTGATCTGTGAGTCTACCTAAGTGCCTGTGTTATGAAAAACAGATTGAAAAAATGGAAGTCAGTATTTTGCTTGCAAAGTATTCTAAACAGTTCTCACATACTCTTCTCATTTGTTGACCCTGGAGTCTCCAGTATTTTTTCTCTTTGATATACCGGAATTTATCTAATCATTTGAGCATGCTTATAACTTTTTGAAAGAATACTTTCTTTGCTAATTGTAATAGTTGTTTGAATTAAGACCATTATCTTTCCAGGTTGCATGAAGTCCCCTTCTCTTTTAAAACAGTTCCTCTTCTTGAAATTAATCACAGTCATAGAGAGCTTTTTTACTTTGTTGCTCCTTGAAGGAAATCATGTCTGTGTATATTATGCAGACTGCTATAAAGTGGTCCTGTAGCAGAAACTCTCTGATCTAGGCTCTGCAAACTGCTTAAGTCAAAAGTTTTTTCATAGTAGCTTTTCTCTTAAGCAGTAATTTTATGATGTCTGTAGCATCTGTTTATTCTCATTACATTTACCAGTATAATATTTAGCTAATCAGTAGAGGAATATTTGAAGACACCTTCTATATTTTATTTCTCCTGCCTTCAGAGACTTGTGATTTCACTTAGCATGTTGCAACCACATCAACCATTTTCTGGGTGATGGTAGCAGAGATGTTAAGAATACTTAAATCTTAAATGTCAGTCCATGGGGTTTTTTATGTTAATCATTTCTTCAAGTAACTAGGCTTGCTTCTCTTAGAGCAGCAGTTCTCTGGGGGGGTTGGCAGTGGTTTAGTCTGTCTCATATAATATGGATTCTTTTAACTTGTACTGAGATCTGCAAAGGTTGATGAAGAAACCACTGTCTTCCTGAAGGCAATCCCACACTTTTGCCAAGCTAAAGCAAAAGCTATATGTAGCTTTCCTAGAGATCTGTAGAAAATGGCATACTCCTTGTGTGGGATTCTGCCATTACTTTCAAAGAAAATTGATCTGCTTATGCTTGCCTTGTCACAGATACGTTAGATGGAAAAGCCTGAGAGTTACTACAAATGTTTTCCATTTAATTAGTAATACTCAATTTCAAATAGTTTATCTTGTGTACCCTGTTGCTAATCCTAAGTGGAATTTTTCTGCCTCTTTCAAACATACAAAAGCCCTTCTGAAAGATAACAAGAGATGTTTTCAGTATTTTAATACTATGTTAGAATTTTCCTATCTGGAAGTGCATGCACCAGGCATATCTCCATGACTGGGTGAATTTGGAAGCTATTGCAAGTTGGAAACTCTATTCTCTAAACTTGAAATGAGTTGGAACAGAATAAAAAGCCTAACTGAAATGAAAAAGAAGATGAAAAAAGGATTAAACAGAGAATAATAATTTGGGAGAAGGTGGATGTGGATAGAATCTCAGAGAAAAAAAATGGTGGATTTACAGATTTGAGAATTGGAAATATAGGTTATTTTGGAAATGGAGTGTAAAGAGCACATATGTGCCTTTTACAAAAGGTAGAAAAGTTACAGAGAAAGAGGAAAAGAGGTGAGAAGTACTTAAGATTTTGGATATGCTGATCAGTTAGATCTTCACATCAGTTCTAAATGAGGATGTTCTTTCACTCATTAAATGATGTTTTGCCAGGTACAAAATGAGGTGTGGTGAGGTGATTTTGCAATTTTTTTAAATGGTGCAGTATCTTTAGATGAGAGAAGATTTTGCCTTTTGAGTATTTTTTTGCATTTATATAGTTTTAGTAATCACACTTGTCAAGATGGGATTGATGGTTTTAAAGGGGAAGAAGAATGTTCCTGAAAACCAGGTTTCTAAACTCATGCCTCAATTTCAAATATATACCAGAATGCTATACATTCTACTTGAAAGCTCCCTCTTTTCTACCTCTTCAGTTTTTAGTCTTCTAATCTGTTTTAGCAAATGCAATGGAACAGTAAAGAGTGAAGTGTTGTCTTGCAATTTTAAGCAAGAAATACAATTTTGGGTTTATTTTTAAATGGGCATTTCAGAGGTGACTGTAAATTTAAGGGTAGGCTATAAATGGATTTGTTTAGAAATTACTGCTTGCACTCTGCAGTGCTTGCACATTGCTTAATTGATATTACAGCTGCTGTTAGGCCAATCTACTTGCAAACAGTAGAATATATTGTCAGAATGGCCATAACTCTTCTGTTATAGGGTGGGAGCCATGATAAAAATGGAGAAGAAAGTTCATAAAAGTGGAAAAAAACGAAGATGTATTTGTAATTGAATGAAAGCTCGGTGGTGATTCTAAAGGAGACTATTAAGTTTATCACAAAATGTTTTTTAAATTGTTTTAATGTGTGAAATGAAACTCAAATTGGTCAATATTTGTCTTATAAAACGTAACATTTCTTCTGGCCATTTCAAACACAGAATTAATTGCATATTCTTTATACGGTTCATTCATGAACTCCGCATATTTTTTGTGGAAAGCTAAAAGCTTTATTCTTTTTCCACTTGACAGAAAGTAGTAGCATTGTTTAGCATTATTCCTGATTGTTAATGGCAAGACTTTTGTCTTAGTTGCAGTTCAATATATTTTTATATATCAGAATTGTCATTTCTTTTTTTCATTCTTTTCACAGAATATAAGTGAAGAATGATGTGATATTAATGCTTTCTATGTGCAGACCCATAAGGATCATCTCTAAGGAGTTGCAGTAAGGCAAAGACTGAGAGTAATTTTTCTCTGGTACAATGTGGTGAAGCAAGGAACTGGAATTGTCCACTTTTGTACAGTATAAGGACTTAAAATGTTCGTCATTTTGTGAGCAGAAGCAGTTCTGGAGTGAATTGAACTTCTGAAAATGCGGCCATGGACTGGTTCCTGGCGTTGGATCATGCTCATCCTCTTTGCTTGGGGAACTTTACTCTTTTATATTGGTGGACACCTGGTACGAGACAGTGAGCACCCAGATCACTCTAGTCGTGAATTATCCAAGATACTTGCTAAACTTGAACGGTTAAAGCAGCAAAATGAAGACTTAAGGCGGATGGCAGAATCTCTCAGGTAGGATCCAAAAGTAATTAAAACTTTACAGAAAAGGATTGCTATATGTAACATGCTTGTGATTTTTTTTTTTGTAAAATCATGCTTAACATTTAAAAATACACAAAAGCATTTTAATCAGTTTTGTAACTGAAAATATACTGCAAAACCTTTAAACGGATAATACACATTTACTTTTGGTCTAATCTAGTCATTAATTAAGAGTCATTATTTAATGGTGTCCAAGTGTCACTGCCACAATAGCAGAGTTCGTTGGTGATTAACTCCTCAATGGCAACTTCAAGTGCAATAATTATGATGCTCAAGCCAATTAGAACAGCTCATGACTTTTCGACACTTCTGCATGCAGTATCTGATAGAGCTCATTTTAGAAGTGTTGAAAACATTCATGCAGCTTGCTGAAGATGAGCTGCAGCAGACTGCGGTACTATATGAATTCTTTTAACTAAGTTTTTTTCCATGGTTTAGTGCTAATCTTGTAGCAGTAATTGTAAAATGATAGGATCATCTGCCTTGTTACAATTATTTGTTACATTATAGGTGGGTACAATTACAACTGAAAGTGTTTTCTTTCATCTTTTCAGACAGGCAGGTTTTAACATACACTTATGATATCTCCTTTCTTAAGACATTATAAGGAAAAGCTTCTTAGGCAGGGTGTGTGCCAGAGTCAGATTGGACCCCTAAGTATTTGGACATCATCACATGCAACGTAAAAGTCCTGATGGATGATGTGAACAAGTGCAGAGGCTTCATGTGTTATTCAAGCTGTAAAAGAGCAAAGCTCAATACAAGATTTTACAGAGTGGGAGGGTGATGTTTATTTTTACTTACTCTCTCTTTCATAACGATATACTCACAAGCACCAAGACAAATCTGTAGCAGTGGTCTGGCCAGGAATTACTGTGTAGAACATGGAGAGAAAGAGGCACTGTGAGCTGAGTGTTCATGTCTCTTGGGTTGTTCTTGCTTGGCAAGGAGATACTGATTTTGGACTTGCTTTTTAATACCCTTTAGGAGCAGATGCCATTTTGGATTTTATACCTTGCTGTTTTGCCTCTTAAATCATAGGAAAAAATAGCAAGTTGCACAAATCTCTTTGTTTTCCTTTCTAGCATGTTTTGTGGTTCTAGTCCTGTTCTTGTTAACTTACCTTGAAGTCAGTTTGTTTCTCCCCTTCATTTGAATTAAATCACACATATGGATTCTATAGCAGTGAAATCAATACCTTTCCCCTGAATCCTGTTCGGATGTTTCTTCTCGTGCATTCTCTCCTTTTCACACGTAGCCAGGGCTCTTTGATCTGGTAGGCTGGGTAGACTTACTGAAGTTTCTTTTCACTGCACTGTTCCTGGTTTCTATAGATACAGCCGCATGCTGATGAGACTTCTTAGCCTAGAAAAACAAATATCTTAGTTTTGCACATCTCAACTCTGAAGAAGTAGCTTGGCATTTATCTGGTGCTGCACAGAGGCAGAGAAATGCTGTTGACTAGGTACCCTCCGCATTAAGCATAGACAGTCTTCACCTTAAGTAGTATGGGCATGAGTGGGCTGTAGTTTTCTACACTGAATTTATTAAATTATGGTAACAACTGCATTGGCAAAAAGTTTAATATATTTTTGTTGACAAAATAGTGTAATGTAGAGTTTGCTGCTATGAAGAAACTTAAGTAAGATTGTGTATTTGAATATATACAATACCTTTAATTTACTTTACTATTAGACAGGAATAGTCAACCTAAGGGTTTCTTGCCTCTGAGGGGGAAACAGTTGGCATTGACTGTAAAGACTAGTACCTTCCATGCTTTCAGCCACCCATATTTGGCTGACTTGAATAAATGATAATGTGGTGTTTTGCAGTCATTGAAATACAACCATTTCAAATTACAGTCACTAGAAGAGAGTGAATATTCTCGATTTTACTGATGAAAAGGTGCTTTTTTCTTCTTAAGAAGAAGGCATATGAATGCATGTGTTGTCCCTGATACACAGGCTAAGCTATATTTTTAGTTTTTTTGCTGGAGCTCATCTGAGATGTTGCAGTACTAGACTTTGAGGGAAGTGATGTATCCCGATGTAGAGCCTTTTCATTATTTTTATTGAGTAAAATCCATGATACTGTTTAAAATGTATTTGTGAAGGTTATTTCTGTAAAGAAATACCCTGGTCAACCTGCAGCATAAAAGTATTAAATCATAAATATAATAGAGAATTTCAGTTTCTCATTTCTTTGTTTGACAGGTAGAACAAGTGGTGTTCAAAATAACTTAGCTTTAAAATGGTCCCATTAGAGTTTTATAGCAATATGGCTATTTAAAATGAGGTATTAGCCAACAGCCTATGGATTCAGTATCTATGTCCTGGAACAGTTCACTGCTGCTACGAACATCCATTAAAGAAACAAAACACCTCTTAACTTCAGAAATTGAATTAACATTAGACAGAAAAGATTACTTTTGCTCCAGTTAACATCTTAAAGCGAAGACATAATTTGTTTTAGGCTGGACTGATCAAAGGCAGAAAGTTTGGAACTATCACTTGAATTTGATTTATTTGCTAGAATTTTGGGGTTTGTACCGAACACTGTAATTACTGATAATGGCTGTGAAATCCGAGTGGTTAATGCGATGGTCTTTAAATCATTGTAGCTTGTGAAGGTAAATCCTATTGTGAAATTGTATTTTATTACACTGAGGTAAAAACTTGGTTCTGCTGCCCTTCTCCACTAAGATTTTATACCTAGGGAATTAGAGAGTTTGTTGTTGTTTTTTTTTATTCTAACAGAAAAGAAGCACGCTCTTTGTAATAAGTGAAGATATGGAAGGGACCTTAATTATAGAATCATAGAATAGTTAGGGTTGAAAAGGACCTTAAGGTCATCTAGTTCCAATGCCCCTGCCATGGGCATGGACACCTTCCGCTGGACCAGGTTGCTCAAAATCCCATCCAATCTAGCTTTAGTTAGAGTTGTTATTTAAATGATAACTCTTAAGGTTACTTTGAGAGGAGTTTAATTGAGACCAGAGTGCCTGCCTGAATAATCGTAGCAATAAACAGGCATCTGATTAACTAGACTGAAGTATTTTGACAATTAGATAAAACTGCTGGATCGTAAAAAGCTCCAAGTTAACAAAAATTATCTCAGTGGGAAGAGAGGCTTTGGGAATGGTAGGAAGTTACCATAATACATAGTTGTGCCATTAATAATAGCTAGTTATGGCAGAGAGGAAGAGATAGAAAACAGGTATGGTTACAAGAATTCAGTAGTTTAGTAAAAGTGGAAGTTGTAACAATTTCCATTTTGAAGTTAAAGAAAATTGGCATTTCATCTTGAATTACATTGAGACCTTAGTTATATGCTAACATATGTTTCAATACATTTCCGTTGCCTAGTATTTCCCATTATAATGGGTTCTTGGGACTTCTCTGACTTCCTCCTCACCTGACATAAGTGCCAGTCCTCTGGGATGGTTGAAAACAGGAGCTGTGCTGTGCTTAGTTTCATCCAGCCAACCATGAATGCCAGCACACGACAAGAAGTGATCTTTCCACCCTGAGATTTGAATGCTCTTTTGCTGCCAATTTAAGTAGCAGCTCCTCATCCCCAAAGACAGCAACAACAGCAGAACAACAAACCAAAAATACGTCTTATGAAACACACCTTATGTGCATGCAGCGTCAACCATGCAAAAGCTGAGAAATGTCGTATCTGAGACAAAGCTTTGTAAGATGTTGCTTAGCCCTTTTTTGCTGTAGGATGCTTAAATCATATGTGATTTTGCAGTTTTCCTTAATCTTTCTAAGGAGTTTTCCTTAATCTTTTTAACAAAGGATGCGTGAGGAGTAGAATTCAGGTTTTAGGGCAGTTAAGATGTTTGGGGTTTTTGGAGGGGTGTTTTTCCTTTCCCCTGCAAGGTCTGTATGTTTGATGTCACAAGCTACAGCATGTTCTTCTGATTTATTTTTTAATAGTTGTAATTTATCTTCCATATTGCTTAAGAATAGTTTATGTTTTTATAAGGATTTTTGGTGAGGTTATTTTTTATTAATATGCACTTCCGCAATAGTGCAAGATGGAACAGTCACTTGTTCTTGAAAATCGCCTGAAATAAGAATATTCCCTTAGGAAGTAAGTACACTTTGTGGTGCAGTTCGGATGACTTGAAATGACTTCAGGCACCACTTAGTTTTTACTGTGCATTTGAAATGCCTTCGGTGGGAAGTCACTGTAGTTTTTCTTGCGCAACTATGATGCTTTGTAAAAACCTTCCTGTGGGCTATAAAGAGGCACAGATATATGTTAGTGATGCAGGAGATAAATGGAAGTAAAGGTGTTTTGTATTGCCTGAGTTTTAGAAATTATGTGCATGAATACTGTTTATTTACAACTCAATTTACAATGTTGTCATAGCAATAAGTGAAGGATATTCTGTGCTAGATGCTTATTGACATTCTTTTATTGTTGATCAGAATCATCATAGTTTATCTAAACTTAGTTTAAACTCTCAAATTTTAAGGAGGGGTGTTGTCAGGACTTGTTATGAAAACTTCTGTATGTTTTTTAACAGGAATTCTTATTCATGAGTATGCATTATTACTAGGATATTCTGCACTAGAAGCTACCTACATAGATGATGCAATGAGTATAGATGAGGATTTTGATTCCAACACTTTTCCCTCAAATGTTGCCTTATCTCCAGCTCAGTTGATGTACTTGTAGAGGGCAGTAACAAGCAAGCTGTGCTGGGTGCAGAGAAGAACCTTTTCCTTAATTTTGAGACTGGATGAAAGTGAGGAAGACAGCAATTCCAAGTCTGATGAGGTAACAGATGCAGAGACAAAACTGTAGAAAGAATAAATAATTTTAGTTCTATCCTTAAATGATGTAATTTTTGCAAATCCATAGAACTAGCTTAGGATAACGCCCCCCACTCCCATCCCAGCTCCTTTTATCTAACAACTAAAGTATAGTAAATGTCTTTATTGCAGTATGCCAACGCAAATTGGATATTAAATGGGATGTACATTTCTTTTTAAAAATCTTAGTTATATCAGTTGATCAGAATGAATTGAGGTCCTTTTGTATCATGCACAGCTGGCCTTCCACAGGGGTCTGCACTTGGTACTTTTAACAGACTTTCCTTATGTTTAGAGGATCCATGTGTTGTCTGAAGATTTCTTATGGTAATGATTTTGTATGCTTTTACCTTATTGTTCTTCACAAATTCTACCTTTAGTTAATGTGATTTCTAGAGGAGAAGCCACTCCATTTTTCCTGGTAATTCTGTGGTTAGTTGTCCTGTCACAATTGTGATACCAAGTTGGCAAACCACAAATATGTTTCAACCTTGTGGTTTTAAACTAGTACAAGAGCTTAAATGTGTTTCAGTATTCTTTTTAAAGGTTTGTGTTGTCTTGTACATGGCCATACAATACCATATGTCAGTATGATATAATACTGTACATCTGTTGTTGGAACAAATTCACAAATGGATTGTTCATACAGAGCGAGTATATTTAGGGAGTGCACATGCTTAAGGTTAGACTGTTTTCCTCAGTTTTGTCATGTTTGTTCCCTCAGTGCATAAAAAAGCAGGTATACGAGCAGTTATTGATAATTCCTTTTCATTTACTACAGTAACTTTAAACCATAAATACATATTTTGCAATAATTATCCCTAATTTGCTTTCCATGGGAGCTTTAAGAGAGCAAAATTTTTCACTAAACTCGTCAGGCTACAGAGCTGCTTCTTTTACCTCTCCTACCCCTGCTGGAAAAAAGGGGTTTAAGTGTTATTCTTAGTGTGATACGCTTTTCTGATGCTTGCATTAGGTTTTTATTCCCTTCAAATACTCCAGTGAAAATGGAGTTTTCATCAGTTCCTGATTTTTTGTTGATATTTAAATATCCAGATCTGGGAGACATTAAATTTAATGACATCCCAGTAGGATCTTTAGACTGCTGTCATTTCTGGTTTAGGGTGAAGATACTCCTTCTAACTGCTATTTTCTCTATGCTAGAAGCATTTTTCATCTGGCAAGGGGTCTTTCCATATGGTGCTTTGAAACTGTATGTGTGTGTGGAGAGAATATCCCTTTCTTTTTATGCTCATATTCCTTTATGAATGGAGAATCATCTTTATGTTCTATATTCTTTACAGTTCTCAAGACTTTTAGACATCTGTTTCCTCTTCTCCTTTTCAGGGTTGTCTTTTACAAAAGTCTTATAAAAGGTGCAATAATTTTTAACCCTTGAATCCAGCAGAAATGTTATTCTCTAAAGATAAAAGGAGGTTTTATTTTCCCTCCATTAATTTTTATTTTTGGGGGCAAACAGAAGTTAGCATCTAATTTCTGTGCTTTTATAGTTTCAGTTTATTTATATGTGGATCCAAGTTGAGATGATGAGCAAGCCTCAGTAATACCCTTAGGGTGGACATAGGGCTCATAGATTTCAGGATACTTATTTCTGTACTTCTGTGCTCACACATCAGAGGTTTCACAAATGGGTATTACAGTTGCTGTTGTTGTATTAGGTGACCAGCGGTTTAGAATACCAGAGTTGTCATAAAAAATTACCATGAGGGTGCATTTAAGAAGCAAGGATCTTGTTCTGAATCCAGAAAATGTTGAAATCATCTTGTGCCAGTATGTAGGAAAACTTAACTTAAAAGCAGAGTTACAGTGCTGCAGCTCTGGTCCTCTAAGAATATTTGGCCAGCATTCAAGACCAGAATGTATTTCATGTGTGAATATAGAAAGCAGCCAAAACTTGAATCTTGTGAAGGCACATACCTCAATTAGGCTTTGCTCGTGTGCCAGTCAGTCCAACAAATGGCCTGAGTTAAGCTGCTGCAAATACTGTTTTCACAAGTAGAGCCTAGGATTGGTCTTGTCAGTGAGTGAAAGTGTTGTAAACACCACAGTTTAACACTGTGTTAAATCTGTGTGCTGCAGCTCTGATATGCACTGTTTTCCTCTTACAGGATTGAGGTTTAAAAATCTTTATTTATGTTAGTATGTTTAATTTCTTCTGGTTTTAAGAAAATGCCAAGAAGGCTTATCAGCAAAAGAGTATGAAACAAAAAGAGAGAGATGAACGGTTAGTGCAAATAATTTGTCAAATAACGATTATACATATAAATCATATAATTTCTTTATTTTCTATATCCTAGGATACCAGATGGCCCTATTGATCAGGGACCAGCTGCAGGAAAGGTACATGCTTTAGAGGAGCAACTTTTAAAGGCCAAAGAACAGATAGAAAACTATAAGAAGCGGACAGGAGATGGTTGGTAGATAAGTTTTATTTTACTTCTAAACAAAGTTTTGGTATTCCATATCAGAAATGTATTGGTTTCTTAACAAATAATTCAGCTACAAGTGCTGATGTTTTTATGCCTTTTTTTTCTTTTTAAAGTAGGAGGCCTTGGAAAAGACCATGAAATATTGAGGAGGAGGATTGAAAATGGGGCTAAGGAACTTTGGTTTTTCCTCCAGAGTGAATTGAAGAAGCTGAAAAATCTAGAAGGAAATGAACTGCAAGGACGCATTGATGAATTTCTGTCTGATTTGGGTCATCAGGAAAGGTACTTTTGATTCTGCATATAAGTTTTAAAGATTATGGGTTGATTTAAGTTAACTACTGATATACTGCTTAAAAATCATTTAGGATAAATTATTGGTATGTGGGCTGAAATATATCTGAAGCATGAATATAAAATTATTACTTTTATTTCATGGGACATGAAGTATATATCCAGCTTATGTCATTATAGCTTAAAGTATGACCCTTTAAATTGATATAATATCATAATTTTTATCAGAAGACCTGGGTCCTGGATGACAGTTGTTGCTTTTCAGTTGCATCTGTCTATATATGTGCATATGTGCATATTCGCACATATAACTAAACCATTTAAAAACTTTAGAATATTTTAAGAATATGATTGTGCCTGTCGTAAATACTAGAATATATTTGTTACATTGATCATTGGGATATTTTATAATTGGAATTATTTTAAAATTGGGTAATATCTTAATTTCAGGAATAACTGTCATTCTGACAATTATTTTGACAGCATCTTTTTGTAATCAGAATTTAGCAGAGTATTTCAGATAGAAATGACCTTTAATTGCAGTTGCTGTGTTGGAATTAAGTTTCATTTGTTGTTGATCTTCTGGCCTTCCCATTGCTGAAATACTTTTTGTATTATGCTAAAACATTCTGTGTGAGTTTTTTTCATGCTGAACAAAATTGATCCAGAAAGTGTGAAAAATTTACTGGAATATATCTGTAAAGCTATTATCTTTTATAATTCTGTTCCCAACATGACCACAATAGCAATTTTTGTCTCTTTAGTAAACAGTCTTAAGAAAATTGTTGAATTAACTAAATATGCTACCTTAAACAAGTATCCTTTTCATAAAAAGCTGAAATCTTCAAGAGTGAGCCAAGTAGTAAAGCATGAACCTTTGGTAATAAAACTGTAGTAAAAGTTAAAAATAATGAGAATTTTTGATTCTGTGGAAAGAATGTAAATACTATTTAAATTGTAGTTCTGGAATAATATGAATTTGATTATTAATGTGTGCAAATAATATCATCCATTAAATTTTGTAATTTAATGTTCTGCAATTTCAAACCCCAATTTGTCGCAGATTGATGGAGTTTAAAGTGAGAAGGAGGGAGTATTCAATTATCGAGAGTTATTATCTATGTAAAATAAGCCATTAGATTTCATCCAATTATTTCTCTGCTGAGTGCTATTATGTATGTTTGACTGAAATAAAAGTAGTGCTTGGCTAAAACAGGATTTTACAAAAGGCTGGAGATCTTCAGTCAAACGGTCAACTCCTCAGTCACTCCTTGGCCACTTCCCCGGGTATTTTGTTTCAACAGCTGCTTCCACTCAGAAATATTTGTTCCCCAGAGAAGTTATTTCTGTTTGGGTTTCTTGGACTTCAGGTCATTGATTCTTGATTCTTTTAAACTCTCTACTAAAACTGAGGCACGTAGTCTAATACCAACCGTACTGATGTCCATCAATGGAACCAAATCACCTGAACACACGTGACTGCTCTGTTTATATAGCCAGGATCACATCAGGCAGTTGCCACAGTGGAACTCTGAATAATGTCTGTTTCATGCCAGAAGGGTTTTTTTGTGTGTCCTTCTCCCAGGATGCATCATTTTCTTACTCCTTTCTTTCCTGCATGAATGACTACTAAATAATTAAGACCAACTTGCAAGTTCTGTATTTCTGACAGCCTTGTCTTCACGTCTCTGTACTTCAGGATGAGGCAAAACCCATACTAAAAATGCATAGTCTTTAGCATTGAATAATAAAAGTCTGCCTTTTAGACCTCTGGAAGTTAGGAGATGAATTCCACTGTGGAAGTCTTGAAAACAATGTGGTACTGGAAGAAGATTGTCTACGATGGAAGCAGTCACAGCTGCTCTGTTTTTTCTTTTCTTAAGAATTTTCTTGTTGAATAAAAGTGTTCTTTAGACTCACACAGTAGTTATCAATAGCAGAATATGCTAGAGTCTGTTGAGTCTTAGTAGTAGTGTAGATCTTCCTGTGTGGTGAGGTCTTCAGAGAAGACTAAAGTTGTTTGAGCTAAAACCAAACAGCCAGAAACTAGGTTTTATTAAAATAAAATGTAGACTTTTTTTTTTTTTTACAATGTAGAAATTCAAAGCAGTTGCATAAGAGGAAACAGATACAAAAGTGTTTCTACAATACTTACAACATTGGCTTCCCGCAATATAATTGTCTTGTGTTACAGAATGCTTGGTTGCCTCTAGTCTTGAAGAAGTTAATTCTTTTACCTTTGAAGTTAGGCTGTCTTCTTCTTTCCCTTGAGTACATGAGTTGCAGGAAAACTCCCAGCTCCTTGTGTGCACATCCTTTGGCCTGTGATACACTGGAGTTTCTGGGGTGTTCTGTTCCCTTAGGATGCACAGTAGCTCCCCAGGGAAACAACAGTCTCTTTATCTCCACAAAGTCCATCCGGTCTCTTGAAGAGAGCATAAATTTAGAGTGAGCAAATCAGATGCTCTCATTTGGTCTGAGGATCATGGCTTTTTGGTGAGGTTTTTTGTTGTGTGTTTTTATTTGTTTTGTATGTAAGTACATGTGCACTTGTTTATTTCTTTTTTAAGGCTTTTAACTAGCTGCTGCATGCCCTTTTTGACAGTGATGTCATAGAAAGTTGTTACTTATGGATCTTACATAACTGGAACACTACATGTAAAGCTGGTATTACTTATTTTTATATATAAATATAAACGTATCTTAGACATTTCAATATATTTTATAATCTAATATTTGGATTAGAAATATTAATTATGAGTGTTTAAAGCAGCTTTTAATGCCCTCATGGGAAAGCAAATACAGGGGTGTGCAGTAATCCAATGATGGGGTAAGTATGTAAAGCAAGTAGTTAATTGTTTTTGTTTGTGAGGAAAGCCTGTTGTGTTACAGGGAAGACTTGCTTTTTAAGAGATGATAAAGACAGTTTCTGTGATTCTGCATAAATAGTATTGTTTGTTAATCTTGGTGCTGTTATGCACATGGTCTGCTAATATGATAGCACTTCTTTTGTTGGGTGCCTTAATCGCTATTTCTTAGCTGTGTCCTAGGGGTTGTGTAGATTTTCTCCTGGAGATTGGCGATCTTGGCAGATGTTTTTTGTCCAGTATTTCATCGCTGATTCTGTTCAAGAAACAAAGTAGCCCAGTGCAGTTTCCTGCATTATGGAATGTGTAATTGTGTTCTAGTTGCCATAGGGAAGATGGCTGTTGAAAGTAAGTTCATCTTAACAGTGGAAAGGCTATTTGACATAGTTAATAAAAAAGAACAGATGAATCCTCTAGTTGTCATGGTTGTTTCCTGTGTTGGCATCATCTTGTTTGCAGGGTGGCTGTTACTGAGTTAGTTTCATTCCTTTTTTCTCCTGGGGACCAGCTGTCACCACGGCTTCTGTGGTAGCTGGCCAAGGTTTGATGCATAGTGTTTGGGCATATTTTCACATTATTTCCTTTGAATTTGTTGGAACATATCACTTTTTTTTTCCTCTTTGAGTTTTTATTTGTTGATGTAAATCTTCCAGGAGGTTTAAATGTAATTTTGTCATACGGCTAGAATAAATGTCTAGACTGATCTTTCAAAATGTGTTAAAAATGCCAGCCCTCCCCCTTTATTTGTGACAATCAAATGGAGATGAAATATATAGCCAGATTCTTCATTCTGCTTTCCAGAAGCAAAATGCTTTTAAGAGCAGCTCCAAGATTTAATTTATGATCCGAAATAAAAATAACAACAAATTGATATTGTTGGTTAGTAACACAATGAAAGACCAAGTTTGACATTAAATATCTGCAATGCCACAGCCTGACATTCTTGCTGCCATTTTACCATCCGCATACCCTCTACTAATCCTGTGCAGGCTCATTTTTTGTCTGCACTTAGCCATATTGGGCTCATGGATCACTGGTCCATCTACAGTTTAGTATCTACATGGCGCCTAGCTCTGGTCTTTGCTATTAGTCTGTGTCTCTTGTAAATCTGTATTAATAAGCCATCATGATGGTCTGTCATGCTCAAAAGAACCTAGGAGATGGAAACCTAAAGAATGCACATTTCCCTGCAATAGAAATCAAAGAAAGCAAGCGACTGAAGGTGTGTGTGGTAGGTTGACCCTGGCTCACACCAGGTACTCACCAAAGCTGTCTTATTACTCTGCCTCATCCTCTGCACAGGGGAGAGAAAATACAACAAAAGGCTTGTGGGTTGAGATAAGGGCAGGGGGAGATGACTCATCAATTACTGTTATGGGCAAAACGGACTTAATTTGGGAACTCAGCTTAATTTATTACCAAACAAATCAAAAGTAGGATAATGAGAAATAAAATCAAATCTTAAAACACTTTCCCCCCATCCTTTCTCTTCTTTCCAGGCTTTACTCCTGAATTCTCTGCCTCCTCCCCTACAGTGGCACAGGGGGACAGGGAATGAGGGCTCTGGTCAGTGCATCACATGTTGTCTCTGTTGCTCCTTCCTCCTCAGGGAGAGGACTCCTCACACTCTTCCCCTTTTCCAGTGTGGGGTCCCTTCCACAGGAGGCAGTCATTCACAAAGTACTCCTTCCCACAGGCTGCAGTTGTTCTTGAGCTGCTCCAGTGTGATTCTCTTCCATAGGGTGCAGCCCTTCATGAATAGACTTCCCCAGTGTGGGTCCCCTGCGGGGTCACAAGTCCTGCCAGCACTATAATCATTTCTGTGTGATAACATCTGTGAATTTTCCAGTTCCTGGTTTGCTTCGGAGTCTTCTAAGAGTAAAGGTTGTTTTTTCAACTATTGTGGATACTGTCTGAAAAGTCTTGCACTAACTCATAGTTTTTTCCACAGATTATTATATGTTCTTTATGATTTGTCCTGAGCAAAGCTATCTTTCCCTAAAGGGTTGAGTCACTGAGGCTGTGTAAGGACTCTCTCATAATTTCTTTTGCCTTAGGGATGGTGGAAAATAATTATATTTCATCTGTACAGCTAATTATTTATACCTTCCTAATGTCTTTGTTTTGTCATGGTCACCATGGCCAATAATGTAAAAAATAAAAGTTGGACAACAGGTGTTTTTCCTTAGAAACAGGAAAAATTACCTAACTGCTGAGAGTTGTTTTTTGGTTGTTTTTTTTTAATTGGCTTTGTATTTTCAGCTATTTTATGCCAATATTTCATAGAAATATATTTCTATTAAATAAAAGATTGTTTTTAATGGTAGTGGAAGATTTTTTATTATTATCCTTTTTAATGTTTATATCTGAATTTTATATATTCTTGTTAAACATCCGCCATAGTTGCATCCTGATTGGGAAGAACGATATAGTTAAACTCCCAAGAAAATGCATGGGTTTCATTTTTTAAGTTGCCTACTACCCTATAATGCTTTCTATACATTGGAAAACACTGCTTTAAGAGGAACAGATTCTTTATTTCTTCAGTTATTTGTATATAATCCATTGTATTAGATCTACTGCATCATTAATTCTTTTCTGATTGTTCGTAAACTGTGTTTACATGTTTCTCTGCATAGTGTCTTTAATAGCGATTTGAAGCTAGTTATGTGATGATACTTGGAATTTCCAAGTTTAGTTACCTTCTAAAAGAAAATCCATTTTACATGATTTGAGATTAGAATGTAAATATGGTGCTTCCAATTGATTGACAAAAGGTGAACATCACTGCTGCTGAACAAGATGGATATAATGTTTAGTACAGCAAGAGTAGATCATGTACTGTTATCCTGTGCAGAAGTATGGGTATGAAAGCCAGTATGAGTGTATAAGAATGGAAATATACAGATCCATAAATCCAGTTATTGTCAAGAGAAGGTTGTCGATAACTCTGCTGATAAAGATATCTGTGACCCAGTTTGATTTATATCGGAATTTACTGCTTAAATATTGTGTTACTGGAAACAGTTACCTAATGGAGATATGTCGTTCACTCCTTTCTCACTTGCTAGGCTTATTTACAAGGGGGATACCCTCAGCTAGCTAGATTTGTGGTTCCAGTACTAATAAGTGCTGCTGGCAATGGTCATGTATTACTTCACTGACAACACCACTTGAAAGGTCATTAGGAAATATGCTTGTCTTCCTCTCACTGTTTTTTTTGTCCCTTTGCCAAATTTCTGTGCCTTTGTTCAGTTGCATCTCCTCCTAATGATCAAACTTATGGCTTCTCAAGAATTTCAGGCAAAGAATTGTAACATCTGAAGTTCAGATAAACAAATTGAGAAAACCAATTTAAAGTTAAACCTTTGTCATTGTCATGGAAATGTTTATCAACTTTAAACATTCTCAGTCTGTCAAGCCAACTCTGAAGTTACTGGTTCTGAATTGGGCTGCCTGTTGCTTGTAGATCAGCCATTAATGTTTTTACATATATTTTGAATAGTTTGCCCTGGTTTTGTATTTTTTTTCCCCAGAAAATTATCAAAATTCACTTTGTGTAGTCTAGACTTGTAATTTGGCCATATGAGTACTAGTAGGATACAGTCATTCCAAGCAGGCAGAGTGCTTACTTTCTTCCAGAGTCAGGAGCTCTGTGCCGTAGAAGGTACTGTTTGCTAAACCTTGTAATAATATTTTGTAGTTAGTTTTCACTAATTAAAATAGAAGGATTACTATTGTAGCTGTGGTAAAGACATTTGTGATATTATGTTCTATACAGGCATAGCACTATAATTACTCATATGCATGAAACATACATTAAATGGAGGACAGTATTTCTTTGCTGCTGTTGGAATTGCGGGGTAGGAGGTGGCACGAACAAATTGTTTTTGAGGCTGTATTTGAAAGATCTGTTTAATTTGTCTTTGATTTCATCTAATCCTCCAATTTAGTAATGGTGAGATTGTTTTCCATGGTTGTTCACAGATCGATAATGACCGACTTGTACTACCTCAGTCAAACAGATGGAGCAGGAGATTGGCGAGAAAAAGAGGCCAAAGATCTAACAGATTTGGTACAGAGGAGAATAACTTATCTACAGGTAAGAGGATAGAGCTTTTAAATCAAGGTAAACGTTTAAGTTTATCAAAATATATATATAGCACTTAGCTATATCCTGGTAGTAGACTAATTACATGACAGGTTTAAGTGTATGTTTATATATAAATGAATTACATACAAAAGAAACAAGAATGTTTGGATTCTTTGTTTTATTGTAAAAGATAAGTCCGTGGTTTCTATTTTTTGTTCTTTAGCATGTCAGAATGCATACATATGTTTGCACAGTGTTAAAAATAGAAAAATTGAAGTTCTTGTATGAAACTTCCAAAAAAGCAGCCTGTTTTAAAAAACATGAGCATGAAAAACTGAAGTGCTTGTATAGTATATTGCTCATATCTACACTGCTTCAACATATGTGTAATACTTCTCATAGATGCCCATATTTGTGACTGTATAAAGCCTTTTTAATGTATATGCTTGTATCTGTCTATAAAATTTAAATAAAACTTGATCTGAAGGTTTTGAGACCTGAGTTCATATAAGAAAGCACGCAGCTATTTACATAGTGATCAAAAAGATATTTGATATAGCTTGTTTTATTTGTACTTGGTTTGATTTTCCTTGCATGTGTGTACCTCACTGCTCTGTTTTGTATGGTCAGCCTGAATGTCTTTTCTTTGTGTAAACAGCCAAATTTGTTTCTCAGATGTTCATTATTTCACATTTCACAGTTCAGCTACTGGAACCTTCTCTCTATGACCAAGCTATGCATTTTTTGCTTATTAAATGGAAACCAGACACCCTTCTATGGAAAAACCCTTCAAGTAAATTAGGCAGGAGACATTATTGTCTTCCTTCAAGTGCTTCTTGAGAACTGTTCCTCATTCTTTCCTTTGGCATGTCACTGTTTGGCAATGGTGTACCGTAACTACTTTTCATTCTGTTAAATATGACTGTTGTCTACCTTTTCCTTTTTTTTTTTCTGTACCCATCTGTCGTTTTACCTAAGCTTGTATGTGTTTCTGAAGAGTGCTTGTCTCCCTGTAGAATGTTTTACAGTGTTAAGGACTTTACTTCAACATAAGGACCTCCGAGTGCTTACAATGAGTAACAAAAGTCAGCACTGATTATGGAAATTAAAAGATATATAAAGGTATTAATACTGCACATTGAATTCAGTATGACTTTTACAGGGAAGGATCTAGAAACTATACAGAAGGGATGTGTGTTTCCTTAGTAATGGCCTTTGAGCTTTTAAGTTGAAGAATGGTGATACGTGTTTTCCAAAAAGATGTAATTCTAGCTTTGATAAATATTTTTAGCATTGTAACTCTGCAGGTCACCAAAAATAGCACTGAATTCTTCAGTTTTGCAGATGTGCAGCAATATACAAAGAGTTATTTGGGTATTATACAAACAGATAATATAACCCTGTTTATTCTGTATGTCTTCGGTTATTTGAAACATATTAGCTGCACTGTATACTCAGTTTTTGTCCTAAAATGTGAAACAGAAATGTGATGAGGCTTCTCTCGCTAAACTGTTCTTTCTTTCTTATACTTACTGTATTTCTTTTCATTAATCGCTTTTCAGGCTGAACCTACCTAAAATTTTTGATCATTCTTTATGTGTGAGAATTTATAATCCTTTATTTTTTTCTTCCTCATGTCTTCCCTTGACACTAATTCCTCACCAGGCCATTAGAAGCGAACATCCACTAGCAGATAAATGACAATAGGCTATTGATTTATACAATAGCACCACAATATATTATTTTTCTTATCTTGCTTTTTATGCAGTCTAATGTGTTACTTAGCTAATAATCTGTCTCCCTTGAGTTCATGTCACTATGGAGCTATTGAAAATGATGCCCGAGATTTTTACTTCAGCTGAATTTTGAAACTTTAGTAATTTTCTTTCACTATGCTTACTTGAAATTTAGTTATCAATACTAAATTTCACTTATCAGGAGTCATGCTTATTTTGGTTAGGTTCTTGACAAGTCAAGTTATGAATTCCAAGTCAAGTCTTTATGCTTGACTGATTTAAAATTCCTTAGACATTTAATTTAATGGCTTTGTCTTTTACCAGTTCTTCCATATTTCATGCATGAAAGTACTAGTCCCGCTAAGATAACTAGAGGCCATTTCTCTGTGTGTTTGCCATTTCTTGCTCCTTTTTATAATCTGTTTTGATTTTTGACTGCACTTTGTCCCCTATTTCATGACTGCTTTGTTTGATTCATTCTTATGAGTAGTTACAGTCTTTGAGATGGGCCATTCACATATTACAGTTGCTGCCATCTCTCTTTTCTTTTTTATTCCCATTTTTTCTGTCTGGAAAAAAATGAGGATCCTATCTCTTGTTTACATGCTTATGAGACAGATATAAGCTTTTGGAGCTCTGATTGTTGCAAGTAATCATCCAAAACACGAATATGTCTGTGACTATACATTTGGGAGTCAAGTTGACTTATTTTACAGCGTGGGTTTCAGGATTTCGAAGAGTACAGGGCTGACTGTGAGTATGCAATGTAAAGCAGTCCATGTCTGAAATAACATATATACACACCACTATTCATAATGTAAGTGTGTTAAAAAAGAAAATAAAAAAATTCAACAATCCTTCCCCCCAACTCCATGAAAAAAATGAAATATGAGGAACATATTTTTTTCTGTTTTTTTTTTTTTTTTTTGTTGTGAAGACTAGAAGTACTGAATAGTTTCCTTTCTGATACATGTTGAACAGTGACAGCTGCATTATTTTGGGACATCTCCCTGGGAAATCATTTAGCTGAATGATTGTGAGTAGTGATGACTGCTACTTCATTTGGATGGCATTACCATAAATTTGATTTAATGAGGCTACATTTAGCTAGTTCCCTGTAGTTAGAGCAACACTTAAAAAGCTAGGAGCTTAGATTTAAGCCACAGACCTTATTTTCAGCGATGCTCATTATCAAACAATTGAAGAGAATGTGCAAGAGAAGGCAGGCAGGGGCTCCTATGGTACGAGAGCTATATATTTTGGAAGTGGTAGAGAGAGTAAATGATTGTGTGATGATTTCCTTTTGTGCTTATTTTTGCACTATTTTATTTTAGAAAGTTAGTGATTCAGCAGCATGCAGTGTCCCAATAGCAATAGAATATTTTTGCCTCCAATTGTAAAAAAACTCAAAATATTTTATTCATTTTTGAAGGTTAAAAATATCAACAGGTGAGAGAGATTGCCAAGTACTCAGCATCATCATCAAATACTTACGGTTTGCCATATTCACGCTATTTACTTGGGGTTGTGTATGTATGCAAAGAAAAGAAAGTTGGTTATAAGACTTTATTCTGAGGTTTCTGGATTTCTCAGTATTTTTGGTGACCTAACACGTCGCTTTTTTCAGCCTTAAAGGATCTCTCCTTCCCATTAAAATCAATGATATATACTTTTAATAAAAGTGCTCATCCTAAAATGACAACAAAAAAGGCTCTGGGCATTGGAGACGACAGCAGTTTGCACTTATCCTTCTTTAGCAGTGAAGAATCCACACAGGAGGGATCTGCTAGTTAAAAATGCATAGGAAACTTCTTTGATTAGTTTTGGTACTTCCAGAATGACTCAAATTGTCCTGGGAAATTATGTCATTTAAATAGTTAATAAAAATTTAAACTGTGTTTAAAGCACATTTTGTCAAGTAATTTTTCTATAACTGGCCTACTTCAGGCTTGAACTAAAAATTTCTTACAACCCCCAGGAGCTCTCCTCACTGGTTGCAGGATTATGCCCAACCGTTCACCCTCCCATGCAACCCAAACCCTACTCATTGAGAGGTTTAGTTACACTTTTGGTGTGTTCTCAGGAATGTCTGTATTTTAATATGCATTTCTTTCTTTTTCTGTTTTACTACTGTATGCATTTCAGTAGTTCTGAATTACCTACTGAAAGTCTTTGGTGGATTGAAATTTAAATGTATCTGTAATTTGAATATTTTGTCCAGTGGATTTTTTTCTCTGGCTCTTTTGGTTTGTATGAACAGATTCGTTCATTGTGTATTGAACCATCTTTACTGTAAATTCAGGATCTGAAAGTATGGTGTTAGGATGGTAACCCCTTAATAAAGTGTGATCACTGCTGATGTCTATATGAGGTTTTCTCTAGAATTTTTATATAGTGGATTGAGGAGCATAGAATGGTTAGTCCAGCTACATGCTGGGATGTGTTCCTAAAGCTGAAGCTTGTGTACTGTAGGAGGCTAGGTGCAAGCTAGAGGAATTAACATTAGAGGCAGGTAAAGCTTCATGCCTCTCAAAGCAAATACGCAGTATTTCTGGCTAGGCAAGGAAGAAAATTTTCTTCCAGCAGCTGTAAGAAATTATTCCTCCCCTCACCAAATATTGAGAGGAACCATTACAAGTAGCATCACAAATAGATGGCGTGAATTACGTTTGTGATAAGTAGGACGAAAACCACTTTTCCTTGACATTATTCTCTCTAAAAAAAAAAGAGGAATTTTCCACAGAATTTGGATGTGACTGTCTTCTCCAGTGCACTGTGTAGCATTAAGGAATGAATTCTTATTGAAAATATGAAAAAGAACACTTTTGTTCATGAGCATCATCTTGCGTTTATGAGATTTCTTTGCAATTTGTGGCAGTTTGCTTGCCCACTCCACTCAAATCTGTCTTGATTCATTGGATGAGAGTACATTTCTCTATACTTTTTAAAATCTACAAACAGTACAGTAATTTCTCTTATAGTAAGATGCATGTTAAGCAGCAGAGTTTACTTTTACCAGATTGTCATGTGTTTTGATGGCTAACTGCACACTTAAAAGCAGTGGAAGTTGGTGAGGCGTTGAAATGGTGCTTCTGACATTTTCCTATCTGATCCTACTAACTCTGTGAATAGGCTAGCCAAGAGCCCTGGAGAAGAAGGTTCTTTGAGCACCAAAAGAAGTGGAAGATGGGGACCAAGGAATAGTCCTAAACTACTTTTATTTTAGTTGAACAATGACAGGGAATGTTCCCAGGCACTGGAACATGATATTCTAAATGTTAAATTATTAGAGCAGTTCCTGGCATGTTTTTGACTCACATCGTAGCTTTCTCCCAAGCAATTCTTCAGCTATGTTTGAGCCTTACCACAAGACACTCTTCATAAATCTACTGCTTGCAGCAGCCCTGTTTTAAGAGGTTTAGAAAGTTTACTAGCATGGATGCAGTCTTTTCTGTACCAGCTAAAATAAGTCTTAGACATATTTTGCTAATGATTTCCTTTTGGCCATAATAATTCTTTTTACAATCTAGTTACAGTACGTCACACAATGGTATTAAAACTCTTCTAAGATAGTCTGTATGAATTATTATCATTAACCAGAAGTTAAAACATGTAGACACATCTTTCAAAAATGGAAGTAAACCAGATAAGCAAAAACCCTCAACTGAACACTTGTGTCTGCTGCTGACAATTCTCTGTGGCAGAAAGAAGCTTCTTACATTTTGTTATTAGCCTAATATTTCAGTGAAAAAAATCCCAACATAACAATGTACCTTATTGTCCCTTTTGAGCTTAAATCTTTTCTACCCATTTACAGTTAACAACAGGAAAAGGTTCTTCTTGCACTGCTTATTAATGCACTTCATTGAGTGGTGTAAATGTCTCTGTAGATTTAGGGAAGAGATGCTTTTTCATGGAATTCTGTCTTTGTGAACTTGCAAACCATACTAGAAAAACCTTTGTCTCCTAAACGACTGTGGGAAGTAGATTTCTAATAGCCTTCAAGATACCTGTTAGATTTAGGCTCAAGTTATTCATTAGGTTGTGATAGCAGGAGTATGGGTCTGAGGAACAAAAATTAAGAATAGAAATTTTATTTCATTTGTTGGGTTTCATTGCTATCTGGGCTTTGAATCAGATGTTTTTTCCTTAAAGTGGAAAAAAGAAATGCTGAAGTAACATGTTGCGAGGCTTGTTGTTTTATTTTTATTTCTTCTTTTTTTCATCCAGATCTGAACTATTCTTCCCTTCTTTTCAGAATTGAATGCGCACATTAAAGTTTTTATTAAGTATTTTAGGACTCCGAATATTTAGATTATGTCTAAGATCACTTGATGAAGAGATCTCAGCTCTCCAGATGGTGATTGTCGGGTTTTGAAGAAACCTGATTTGTTGCAAATGTACAGAAAATGGTATTTAAAGTTGTTTAGATGGGAGAGGAACGAGTTTATACCAATGCTCAAATATCAGTATTCTTGCAGCTTAACTGAAATCTAACTTCTCATCCTAGAGATTTTATAAATAACCTTTTTGGAATGTGGAAGTATGCCTAGAGACATCGAGACTGTGTACGGTCAAGTAGTATATTTTACAGAAAGAAAAACTTCTGTGTGTTACGTTATGTTGTCCACAAAGCTAAAATATTTATTAGTTTGTACTTTTAAACACAGCATTCACATCATGTAGACATTTGCCTCCTTTGTTGTTGTTTCCAAGACTCTGGAAGAGCAGTATATTATTTTATTAAGAGTACATGCAGATTAAAATACTGCCTTTTATTACTCTGTTTAGGTATGTGTTCTGTATTTGGTATGTAGTCAGTCTGGGGAAGCAGTTCATTAATAAGCATTGGTTTTATTCTGAATCCTGTAGACAGGTGGAAATTTCCTTTCGTTGTATGACATGCATGCTCATTGAAAGAGAACTAACAAACCTGGGGAAATGCTAAATGAAAAAAGCATTCCAACAGTGGGAATCATGTTGATGAAATGTGAACTCTGAGCACAAATGTTAGCTTATTCTGACAGATTTACAAATGAGAAAGTAATTTAAAATCTTGAAGGTATTCTATTCTACATTAGGATAGTGAAGTATGTTCAATAACTGTTCATGTGCACAGTGAAGAATTCACATAAAATTTTAATGGAGCTGAAGCCTACTCATCCATTTGAATATGAGATGTATTATAGCAGGATGGCTTCTGTGATTTATGACGTGTCAGTTTGTCACCAAAAAAGTATGCTTTTGTGTATATCTTCTCTTCAGCTTCATTTTTTCATCCATGCTTACAGAACCCGAAGGATTGCAGCAAAGCTAAGAAACTTGTGTGTAATATCAACAAAGGCTGTGGCTATGGTTGTCAACTTCATCATGTAGTCTACTGCTTCATGATTGCTTATGGCACTCAGAGAACACTCATTTTGGAGTCTCAGAACTGGCGCTATGCTACCGGTGGCTGGGAGACTGTATTTAGGCCTGTAAGTGAGACATGTACTGACAGATCAGGTGCCACCACTGGCCACTGGTCAGGTAAGATTTAATAACTCAAATAATACCATCTTCTTTTTGCAGCTTCATTCATGTAGAATTATATTGATACCTCTTTCTTTAATGTTATGTGAAGCATAATAACTATGACTCCAACTGTATATGTAAGCATCTTTTAAGTCTTATTTTTGCATTGTATTGAAATAAAATTAATATTCTTATTAAGATATCTGCTTTGGCAGAGATTTTTTAGTACAAAATTTTTGTATTTCAGATTTAAATTGTAATCCCTTAGCAGACTGCTGCTATGTTATGTGCCAGTTATGAATCCCATTTTTATGGGAAGAGAACATTAAATAGAGGCTGTTGTTGGTAAAAATTAAAAGAATATTGAATGTTTCAAACATAAAGCAAGAGAAATATAATGAAAATGGTATCAAAGTCATTCACACACCAAAAAAAATAATTAAAGGATTAAAATAGTTTTTAATATAAAGTGAACTGACTCAAAATTCAGGCTGTGAAAACAGTGGCAATCATAAATATCGTTTTATTTGTAGATCAGTAAGTTAATTTTTATGCTAGGCTGAAGAATTTTGCTACAATAACTAGGTGGACATTCATGTTTGGAGGATCAGATAGCTTTGTCTCAGAGTAAACAGCATCAATTTTAATGGAATTCTTGCAGTCAGTGTCTTGAAGAGTTATTAACATCTGCATGGGGTTTTTTTTATAGTTTTTTTCTATATATTTATAATATTTTCATATAGTTGTCAAAACGGAGTAGGTATACAGCACACTTGGAGATGGCTGGCAATATGCTAACTTTTTTTCTCTCAGTTTATGTTAAATAATAGGAAGAATTTTAGAAAGTTAAATTTCTATACAGATATTTTTTTATGTGAACAATTGTCAACTTTTTAAAACAGATTTTATTGACTCTTCCTCTTTTGTTCAGCATACCTGTTTTTTCTAGGTCTGTAACTGGTGGAAGGTTATAAATCTTACAATAAATGCTAGAAAGACACAGTTGATCAAAAGAAATACAAAACAAGATAAATTGAGGTGTCTCCATTGATAAAAGGGTGGGAAAAGCACAATTAAAAAATAGGGTGTGAGAGAGATGGAATGTTAATTTTAATAATATTTTGTATTATTGACAATTACAGCCCACACAATAACTACTGGGTGACTAGGTAAGCTAACATTGGGTAGAAAACAGGCTATGCCATGCACAAAACCAATTTAGAGTGGGAAACAGCAAGGGAAATATTGTGCCACTTTCCAGGCTATAGCTGTTTTATTTATCAGCACTGATGCAAATTTTGATTGTTAGCATGTGGCACATTAATCTTATCCCAGAAATGAATTTTGGCTCAGTTACTTTCTGCTTAAGGATAGATAAGAAGGACTGATACTTTTTATTATTTATGTTAGTTGTCCCTACAGACTCAAGAACAGACTCAAGAATTTCTTTCCCGTGTGTCCTGAAGGATGCATTTGGCAGCAACAGCTGTGACTTGGTTTTCACTGGGACATTTAAAAGATTTGTAGGGATTTTCAATAGGTGATTTTGTAGATTACACTCATCAGTAAGACACAGTGCACTGAGTTGTTATTTTAGCATAGTGTTCTCATTAGAACTATGGGAGCTACAGCATGACTTTTGCAGACCAGTACTACCCCAGTGCCATTGAGGCAATAAACAGTTTGTCAGTTTGGATAGTAAACAGGGCTTTTCAGTTCTGGGTTGACAGAAACTGGTTCCCCGCTGCCAATCTTCATTCTTCCTCTTCTGCTGGCGACCTCTGATTCACAGATTTTTGGATGATGTGTGAAGTTTGAGGCATGGAAGAACAGCCAGATCTTATAAGTCATCAGAGACTGCCCTAGAGTCACAGCAATATTGCCCTTCCTTCATTTCTGCAGAACTCTCAGCTGGTCACTGGGCTTTGAAACTAACATCAATGCTGAGAAATGAAAATGTAGATGTTCATTCCTTCATCTGTTTTCTGTCTTTGGCCAGTCCCATACCTGTTTCTAGACAGGGAAAAACTGCCTGTTCTGACAAGTGTTTCAGGTTTCACTTGTCATTCTGTAGTCATTGTGCCTCTCACAGTTTCTTAAATTATAGAATCACAGAATGGTTTGGCTTGGAAAGGACCTTAAGATCATCCAGCTCCAACCCCCTGCCACTGGCAGGGATACCTTTCACTAGAGCAGGTTGCTCAAGGCCCTGTCCAACCTGGCTTTGAATACTGCCAAAATTAGTTAAGCTCTCAAATAGGCAGAACTCATACCATTCAAGAATTTCTAGTTACATGTAGTAGAAGTGTTTGTATCTTCAACTATTGTACTACCTGGAATGATTGCTTTTTAGCTATTTTACTTCCTATTGCAAATTCTTGGGAGTTGTGTTGTATGATAGTGTTTGTTGAGGTGCTTTTTTGACAGCAGTGTGTTATTTGTTTCATTTGTTTCATTCCTTTTTTTCCCAGAGAATCAGTAGCATTTCTTACTCATGTTGGATGCAGTTGTACTTGAGGATCTTTGTTATCTGGCTGATCAGCAGTTTAGTGGGGAAGTGTGCCCTGGAGGGTAGGTAAAGGAAGAAGAATTACTTATGCAGCGGACAGTTCAGTCCAGGGCCTGTTGTAGTCCAGTCATAACAAGAGTTAAACTTGACAGAAATTTCCTTGCGCCAACATACTGTATATGTGTGCCAGGCAGATCTCAGTTTGCACTGCTGTCTCTTCGAAAAAGGTTTAACAAGTATTTTTTCCACTTCACAATATACCTTCAATTAACTTTTGTGCCTTGTTAGAAGGTTCAGATACAGTAATCTTGTTGAATTTAGAGGAAGGCAGGGCAGGGTAAAGTGTTGTAGGGAACTGTAGGTTAGGATAAAATGCAGAATCAGCACTTGCCTTTCCCAAGCAAGCACACATCTATACTTCAGTAAGCTAGTACTTTGTCTTCTGTGGATGTAAAGACCATTTCCAAGTCATTGTTTAGATATTACACTAAGAACATTGCTGATTAAAACCAAAACCTTTTAATGATGAATATAGCCAAACAAGTTCCCTAGAGTGTGTGTGCAGTCTCCATCTTTGGGGCTTTCAAGATGTATCTGGCTGAAGCCCTGTTCTGATCTTATGGCTGACCCTATTTTGAGCAGAAGTTTGAAGCAGATGTCCTCCTGACCTGTAAACTGTGTGATTCGGACAAACTCAGTAAATGAGTTCAACTGTGCAAAGTGTTGATTATGACTAATAATAACCTGGTCTTATCCTAATGAGCTGGCATTGTCCAGAACTACAGGGTGGAAGTACAAAAGCAGCCGGCAAATAATGGGTAAGCAGTGGCAAAGAGAAATTCCTACAAGGGGTCAGTTCGTCCTGTTCTGGTTACACATATGAATCCTCATACATGGTGATGAATCTTGCATCTCTCTGTGTGGTTGATAGAACCTATCAGAATCTTATGTATTTTCTATAGGACTCTGCATACCCAATGTGTCCGGTATCTTAAATAATTTAACTCTTAAAGTCTTAGAGATCTCAAATTAGCTTTTTCAGATTTACAAAATCCAATTTACAGATTGCTGTGCAAGCATTCTTGTGTGCATATGCATTGAAACAGTGTTTGCACATTGAAGTAACATCAGTTCTTCAAAACTTTTAAGATGCTACAAAACTTTCATTTGAAAATTCTAGCAAGTTTTATGAATGAGAATTTTAAAATTTTTTTTTTAAATGGTTGAATGTTTTTTAAAGATAAGTAGAAATTGAAAACAGACATTGAAAACTTCAGCTGAAGTTGCATTCATGTTTGGCAAAGTTAGCAACTGAAACGGCCATCTGGGCATGGTTCTGGGCAGACTGCTCTATGTGACCACAGAATTTAGTTGCAGGCAGTTTTGTGAGCCTTGCATTTAGCATAATAAGCTGTTACAAGAGTGTTCTGGAGCAGTTCTGCACACATGGCTTAAAAAGACTGTATTTTCCTAAAAATCTGTTAAAATAGATCATGATTTCCTGCAATATGGGCTCTTGCTGATGAAAGTACAAATATTTCCTTCTGGCTCCCTACAGTTGTGGGGTTTTGGAGGGGTTGGGTTTTTTTTTTATTGGTTTCTAATTCAGGAATTAGGCTGAATGCATGAAAAATTTTGATGTGATCAAGTTTTTGAATTAATGAATGCCGCTAATTTGAGTTTTGATGTTCTAGAGATAGAAGATATTCAGCTGCAAAAACCAGTCTTTCTATGGTTAGCCTACAGGGTAGCCACTCAGTATAAGCCGTGTTAAATTCTGATCTTCTGCAACGCCATGATCACTAAAGAAGAATGAAATTAACAGTCAATCTCTGTTACTAGCTTCACTGTGACTTCAGTGCGAATCTTTACTGGATACTTAATTGCCAGTAAATTTGAAAGACATTCTGTCCCATTGAAGATTTCTATATGTTTTTTATGTCTTTCTAAATTTCCATATATTTTTTTATTCCCTGTACCTTTACAGACAGAAATAAGTCTGAAATTCTTAACTGTAACTAGGAACAGTTTGTCTGCAAACCCACACTTTTGGTTTTTATCTGCAACATCTGAAATTATCATGGTATTTTCTAGATTTTTAAAATGAACATAAAATTGCATTAAGATTTATAATTTTCCATTTCTCATAAACAAAATCTTACTACTACACAGTTTAATGAAAGTTGGTTTTAATTATGTATCAAAAATACTCATGCAAGCAAATACTTATAACAAGATACCAGTGTAAATTACAGAAATAGGCCCAAAAGTCAGAAAATTATATAATTTAAAAAAAATTACTTAATTTGTAGACCTGCAGAGATAGTAAATTAGTAAATCATGTTACCTGGAAAAAATCGTTTGAATCTGTACGCTTACTTTCTTCTTAATAAGCTGCCTCTGCTTGACACTTCTATTTTAGTTGTATTAGCAATGTAAAAGTTTGAGGTGTTGGAAGTCTGTCTTCTGTAAAACAATTTAGATATTTATGTCTTCTACAAAGGAT